GGATAACTTTTTCAGCAATTTAAAAAATGTCTTGAAATCGACTTATATGGAGACTTGTATCTAAAATTATGTAAATTACTTTCAAACTCCATATTGCTTAAGTGTTAAACAGCTGAAGCCAGCATTTGAAGTGTTCTCAGTTTTTTAGTAGCTGTAGATATTTCTGCAAGTCTTGAGGGTGTTGGTTCTGTACAATAACTATACTGGCATAGAAGTCTACTGCAACTGGAAAAAGCTCTCTTCAGTTGCTTCTTAATTTGCAAGTTATTTAGCAATTCTAAAAAATTTAAGCATACCAGGAAATGTTGTCTGGTGGCTATGTATGTCCTTCATTCTTAAAGAGTCTAGATGGTCTCTAATAAAGGACTTCTTAAATACTCAAAATACGTCACAAATTAGTGCTGCTTCTCTGCATCTAACTGAATCCTAGTTTTTGTTAGAAATTTGATACACATTTCCTGAACACAGACTAATGTATTAGCTGGTGTGGACTCTGTAAAGCAGCTGAAGACTCACCCCAGTTCTTAAGTGCTCCCCCTCTCCTGTGGAATGATAAAAAAGCAGAAGGAAAGAGGAAAGACTTATGGCTCGAGATCATGACAGCTTAAGCAAAGCAAAAGATACTCAAGTGAAGCAAAAGGAGAATTTCAATCCGTACTTCCCATCAGCAGTCAGATGTCCAATGGTTTGGAATGTCCCTATGGTCAGTAGGCACCCCCTGCCTACTGAGTGGGGGTGAGAAGGAAAGCCTTGCTGCTGTGGAAGCATGGTCCAGCTGCAGCCAAAGCATTAGTGTTACTGGCACTGTTTTAGTCACAAATCCAAAGCACAGTTCCATACGGACTCCTAGGAGGCATGTTACCTCCATCCCAGCCAGGACCAGTGCAGCAGGAAATGTTGCTTGGTATTCTCCATTTAACATGTAATAGCCTAAATTATAGCCTAAAAACTCTAAACTAATTTGTGTGAAGCCGTGTGATAGCTCAAACCCATCTTTCTGTTTAGCTCTTACAGGAAGTTTGCACTTGTGCTCTGTTTAAACTTCAAAGCGAAACTTAATTGCCAGTTTTTATGAAGCTAACTGAATTACAGTTGCCAGTCAGAGTAAAAATGTACAATAAGCCTTGAAGGTCTGTCGTGGTTTAACCCAGGACAGGATCTTTATTTGGTATTAGTTATTTTAAGGGTTACTTAAATTGTTAATGTCAGGCCATCCTAAGGAAGGTTGTCAGGTTTTCACCAAAATGACCCAATGCATTCAAAATCTGGTCTTGGTAATTTCCCTGGAAAAGTGTACGCGCCTTCACAGCTGACCTTACCTAACTGCCTATTTAGAGCTGAAAAGGAAATCTTAAGTCTAATCAGTAGACACATATAGAAAATAAAGTTTAGGTTGAAGGAAAAAGAAAAGATACTCATCTTGAAAGCAGTAATCTGTTTAGGATAGCTGAAGCTTTTTCCTTGGTTCAGCCAGGCAGTGTTTCAAGGACTTCACAGTATCTTAGCACATAGTCTAGTGTAAGTTGTCACTTTCAGTCTTACGGCTTTTTGCCTTGAAGATGAAAGATACTGAAAATGTTTTAAAGTGGTTATCTGTTTTTTAAATGACTAAAAAATTACTTTCAGTGTATTTTTACGTCTAATGGGTGCACTGATTTTGGTGCAGCAAGCTGCTGAAGTGCAGCTCCGTTCTAGTAAAAACCTTGTATTCAAATGGCTTTCAAAAGAATAACATTACAATTGCATTAAAACTGATGTCAAACAGTATTTCATGTTAATATTGGCTGATTGGAGTTTCATTGTATAATGCAATTCTTTATAGGTAAGATAGCATCACTACTGATGTGGAAAGGTGTCCTAAATAGTATAAAAATGGTTGTCATCTGGGTTCTTGGTGTTCAGTCTTCATTTGTGAAGCCAAATGTCATCTTAACTGTCTAGCAGAATACAGACAGAGATACATTAGGCTACTTTTGTAAATTTTGCTGAAGAAAGTTATATCTGTCTTTAAGGACATGAAGAGAAGAAACCTGTGAGTATTTAAGTGAAAAATACTTCCTGAAATAAATAAGGATCTTGACTTCATACAAAATTGAGATAACTGTAAATTGTTTATTGAATCAATCCAAATTACTGTTGAACATTTCTCACTCAGGAAGGTTTACAGCTTTAGTTGACTGGTTATGTCAAGCCCAGCTGGTTTGATGCCCACACAGAAAACATTATTTCATAACTTCTTTTGCCTGCTACTTAACTGTGGATGTAATTGATTTGTAGTAATTAAAACATTTTTTATTTAAAGTGTTTAATATTGCATATTTTCATTAGTCTGAAACTTGGAGATTACATGTGAACGTTTTTGTCTGGCCTCAGGTTTGTCTGTTACTTCACTTTTAAATTTGCTACTTTATCGCTTAAATATATTTGATTTCCCTAAGCTGTTTCAGAAACAAGTACAAATTAATGAAATCTGAGCTTCTGGGAAAATACAAAATTGTTCCATTCCAGAAGAAAACTAGCTAATTCATGAGTTGTGTTATGATCTTTCTTTTTATTAACAAAATTTGAAGTTAATGTTAAACTAGAAAGGAAATGATCTTCGTGTTCATTTATTAAGATAGACTTCAGTCATGTCAAACCCTCATTCCGGTTTGTCTCAAAATAAATATAGGACTTGCCAATCTGGGATATTATAGTTGAGGAAGAACCTGAAGAGTAGGAAACTCATGTAATATGTAGTTGTACAATCTCTGTTGTGGTGAAAAGCTTTTAGTGTTAAAGCTCTTTACCCTATAGGATAAAAATACAGACATCATATAGACACTACAGATGAACACCTCTTGCCCTTGTAAGTAACCTGATCAAAACTGCCTTCCCTCTTTTGAAGGCACATTCCTGGGTTATAATTTTAGAGAAAAGCTGGATAAGCTGTTGGGCACATAAGACCATGCCTCTACCTTTTTGTTTCTAAAATGTCATGGCTACATGAAGCAATTGCATAAGTTGAGGTGCTTTGTCTGATGGTGTATAAACTGTAGTTGAAACTTGATCAAGTTGTAGAGGCAAATGGCATGAAAACCTCTATCCTGGAGCGCCGAAGCGTAAAGTAGTTTAAATTGTAAGTGGGATCTTCCTGCAATACAGATCTGCACTGTCTGTAAGGACAAGGTGAGTACTGCATGTCTGTATTTTACAGGGGAAAAATAAAAAGGCAGGTCAACAGGCTGCTAGTTGTTGAACTATATGACACACATCGCAGACAGTTTGACTGTTCTTACTTGACAAATAGCTGTTTTGAGATAGAAGTGCCATGTGGGAAACTGTGTTAGTTTTGGTGAGCAACTGTTAGATCCCTTGACTTCTGAAATGGAGCACTTACTCTAAAAACTGCCAGTCATCTTTATCATTTGGTCTTGAAGGTCAAGCAGTGGATACTACACACTAGAGGAGGGCTTCTTGCAACAAGTCTGTGGAGCTGTGAATGTGTCTTAGAATTTTTGAGTACTAATTCAAAAGAGTGAAGTCTAGCTGAAAGGAATTATGCCACTTCCTTGTTTGGCATTTGCTGAACAGTGCTTGCACACTATGTTCTGCCTCACCACAGATAAGTATGCTAGGGGTGGCTGGGCAAGAACCTGGGAGGAGACACAGCTGGGACAGCTGCTGACTCTAATTGACCATTCTATATTAAGTGATGATGTGCTTAGCAATAAATGCTCAAGGAAAAGAGAAAAAAGAAAGGACATTCTTGGCTATGGTCTTCCAAAGCAAGTGTTGCATGTTCGGAGGCCCATCTTTCTAGAAAGTGGCTGGACACCTGTCTGCTGATGGGAAGTAATAAATCCCTCTTCCCCCGCCTTGTCTGCAGTGTGTGCTTCCCTTATTAAAACTGTTGCTGTCTCAGTCTGCAAGTCTTCTCGCCAACACAGTCTTAAGCTAAAGATCAGGAGACCTAGGCATGAAATTCTTTTCTATGCCCCAGGACAGTATTTGAATGATATATTGGAATGCAAGCTGCTGTATTTGCATGAGCAGTCTATGTGTGCATCAATTGTACAAAGGCAGAAAATATTTGCTTGAAATGTTTTCCAGCTCCTCAGTGCTTGCTTTTTCTTGCTTTTGAATTGTTACTTGATCTCTGAACTTCTTAGAACTCAGAACTAGATGGACATTAAAGCAGTGCCTATAATAGTGGTGTAGAGAGCTCAATAAAATGATATACATGTGTTTAGTTTGAGACTGTGTAGTGAATTCAAGTCAAACATCCCAAGTTTCACTGGGAGTTCAGGCCAGCATACTGTAGGTCTGTTTCAGCGTGCCAGCACAGCTGAGAAACAGTAGTGAGGTTCTGTGAGGAAACTTTATTGGGCTGTGAATGGCAACTCGTACTATAGTTTAGGAATCAACTGAACATATTCAGTTTTCCACCGTTCATAGGGCATTTTCGTTGGTTGGTTTTGCAGATTGTTCCCAAAGAACTTGCATGCTGCTGTTGTAAAGTCTGTGCTGTATGCGGTGTTAAAGGATTCATTGCATTAATGTAAGATTGCCCTGCATTTAATTCCAAGTTAATTAAAGATGCATGTCTTGGGAAGCTTTTAATTGAAGAAGTAGGGGCAACTTCTACTGATTTCTGCTGATGCTTCCACCTGATGCACAGCCCTAAGGATTATTCAAGATGTTAACAAAATCTTGTTGCTACTAGTAAGACAACTTTTTAAATTTTTTGTTTCAGGTTTGTTTTTTTTTTTTTTTGGCGGGGGGAGGCTGGTTGTAACCTGACTAACTCAGATGTTATGTGACATCACTTAGAAGCAGAAAGCCATAAATAAAACTGCTGACAGTGGAGATTGTTAGAAGTAATAGAAATCTCAGAGAAATAGTTGTGAGTCTTATTCAGGCATGTTTGTTCCTGTTGTCAGTATAGAATTATGTCAAATAACATCTTCACAGGATATGCGATTTTGAAAATAACTAATTTATTTCTCCATTCACTTTAGGTCCAAGATGGGCCTCTTGGAACACCGGTGTTTTTATTTGCATCAGATGTGCTGGAATACATCGAAATCTTGGGGTCCATATATCAAGGGTCAAGTCTGTCAACTTGGACCAATGGACACCAGAGCAAATACAGGTAAAATACCTTAAATATATATTTTCAATTTGGATGGAATGCTAGGGCTCCTTTGGAAAGGATTTGAGTTTATCATGATGTCTCTGCTTAAATGTTTTACAAAGTAGTTCTTAATGTGTTATATTTCTGCTGTAATGAGTTTAAGTTCTGAAAACTCACTTCAGAAACTGGTTGAGTTGTCTCTTCTGGATCATTTTAGATCCAGAAGTCCCTTGCCACTGGGACTCTGAAAGATGCTTCCTCATTGTATCTGTAGAAAGTGTGTTGTAAGCCTTTTCCTTTTCAGGAGGGCACAATAAAGTAGCATTCACACATCTGTGTGATTCTTGAATTACATTCTTTTTGGTGTTCCAAGTACTTTTTCCAGGTATGTTCCAGTCTGAAGCATTTTTCTGTTGCAAGACAGTTTTTCTTATTCCTTTTCCTCCTGGTCTGAGGAGCATCCTGAGAGATGAAAGCTTATCTTTCACTGGATGGGTTAGTTTACACTGTTAAACAGCATCTCTGTTGTTAGCTCTTGTCCAGCAAGTATTGGCAGGCAGCCCTCCTGTGCAATGGGAGCATCTCCCAGGACATATGGCAGCAGAGAGGTCTCCAAGTTAAAAACTTGCAGTGTTATTTAAGCACATGAATAGCATTCTGGCTATTTCAGGATTTAAAGTATTAGTGGACCTGAACTAACTGTTTCTTCTCACTTTTTCTTAGTGCATGCAAGAAATGGGAAATACTAAAGCAAGACTACTCTATGAAGCTAATCTACCAGAGAACTTCCGAAGACCTCAAACAGATCAGTATCCTTTTTGATTTAGTGTTCACATTGAAATGACTTTTAATGCAATTTAAATGTTATAAGGGACTGCTACGTTTGGCAACTCACCTTATTTATTTCATTGATGTTGTATAAAAAATGACAGTGGAATTTGGGAACAGTTCAGAAAAGGTTTAAATTACTTCAGTTATAGCAAATCTACTTGTAATGAGATTTGGTAAGCCCCATTTATTTTTGCTTTCAGAAAAGGTGACTTCATAAATTCCTTGTATGTTGGAAGTTAGAGTGATACTGGAGAGCTCTTGAATATTCTGTCTTTGTCTTGAGTAACTGCCAGCTGAAGTTAGAAGTATTTGAACAGGAAATAATGAGCTGAATGGTAAAATAAAATAAGCCATTGGATCTTACTCAAGTGAAATATGGATTTCTTCATCTAGATAAAGTACTCTAATTTTTTGGAGTTGAAACATATACAATTCTGTGAACTCTGCAAGCACAGATGGGAATATCTAAATAAACGAAACCTCTCTGAGAGCTACCACTTGTGTTGGTATGTGGTTATCACCATGTAACTGGAAGGGGAAGGTTGGAGGAAAAATTGTCAACCACCAATAAGTATCTTTCCTCAAAAAAAATGTTTTCCAAATGTAATGAGTCATTAGAATAATGTATAATGGCATTAATTTAGATTTGTATTCACTTCTGACTTAGTGAGTTACTCTGCAGGTAGGATTTGCTTCATCTAGTCTTAATGGAACTCTGTAATAAGAGCCTAAACAGCTACTATTAAGTGAGCTGAATCTATCCCCAGTTCTCTTGGCCTGATGATGGTACAACCTATGGAGGCTGGTAAATGCACTTAATCATAACTGGATCTGAATTTCCTCTTTCAGTATCCCAAACTGATTTTGATTCTCCTGTTTGTTAGATACTATGTGTGATATTCTATGCGCAGAAGATTTTTTTTTTTGAGTTAGGTTCCTCATTATAAAATGCACTTGAGCAAAACAGATATGTATTTTCATGTTCCAGTAGCTTTAAAATTAAACATACATATGTATAAGAAAAATGTAATTGGAACCAGATAGCACTGTAGTGTTCCAGCTGTAATATTCTAGAACTCTGTTTCAGCCCTAAGATTGAAATACTTTGACTAAAACTTACTCAGAAGTGGCTCTTGAAGATGTATGTTTTGTTCTTGCTGCAGCTAACTCGAATTCACTGGTGCTATTTTGGGAGAAGCAATAATGCTTTGCTCTGCTTTTCTTGTCAGATCAGACCACAGGTCTCACTTTTAGATTCTCAAGATAATTCTTTTTTTTGATACTGTATACCTTGAAATAAATATTCTTTTGAAGAGCTGACAGTTTCTAAGAGGTGGACTTGGTCAACTGAATATATTTCATTGTGTGTATTTTCTTTATTAAAAATACAGGGCCAGGAGAGAGGATGCCAGAATTTTCTGTTTGATTTCTCAGCTTCCCCATAAGTTTGTCAGCTATTTACCTACTTCACATTTGTGATAAGCTGTTTTTTTGCCTTTCCTCTGTGCCCTTTGTATCCCTACAAAATCAGCATTGTATCTAATCAGTATTCTGGTTATGAATATTCTCAATATTCTGAATAATCTTTTGGAGGTATTATGGAAACTCTGCATATAATGACCACTTTTGTATATGTTCTCCTATATGATATTTAACTGTAGCACTATAATATTCTTATTTTTATTTTTTATGTAGTAGAATGGAGGCACAGGAAAAACATGTATGTGGAATCCTCCTAAAATCTCCCACTAAAGGTCCCCCATCAGTTCTGCCGCTTAGTCACAAGACTGACCTGTCTGGGCGTTGGTTTATTTTTATGCTTCCATTGTACTTGGCAGGGATGCTCTGGTATAGAAGCTGGTTTTGAGGATCATTTTGATGAGTTTTTTGTATGAGAGCTTTAGCTTCCTGTTTGAAAGTGGTTTTTTTTCACAAGAGTAGAGTGAATCAATTTGTCTCTTCATTTTACTCACTTCTTAAAACAGTTTTGGCAACTGTTAATGTTGCTTTAAATTCTTTTGTTAACAAGAGCACAGTAGGTTACCAATCTAAACAAATATAGACATGCCCCAAAAATTCACACATATTGAAGTTCCAAAATAATAATACCCCAGTTTAATAGCATCCCAAGAAATTAAACTGTATCAAATTTAAATGCTTATGATCCTCTGAAATAATTTTCAAATTAAAACTTTCTGAGGACTGAAATATCAGGTGAGCATCCTGGGAAACTGCTAAAAATACAGAAATCTTTATGCAAAAGAACTAAAATGCCTAACACCAAAATCTGGGCAACCAAAACTTAGAATACTTAGTATAAATGTGCCATCTGAAAATGTTAATTTCGGCAAATAACTAAGACTGTATAGGAAGGACAGGTTGTTTTAAGGTATTTTATAACAATCAAGTTTTAAAGCTTTTCTGTTTACTTCTAAATTAGTTATAAATTAATATAGCTATCCAGTTACAAAAGCATGGAAAAAATCAAATAGCCTTTCTATATCTCCTTCCCCACTGAGATTATATAATGCAGTAATTTGTGCTACAAGTTGGAAATTTTTAGGGGAATCCTATTTAGTCTTAGGTAAATTTGCAAGGTTGTGGAAGTAGCATATTATACAACTTCTATTCATCTGTAATTTAATACCCTTTGATTTTTTTTTGGGCAAAGTGACAGTTCTTTGGTATGTGTAAAGAACAGTGCAGTGTTAGTGCTAAGATAGTTGTGCATTCAGAGTACTCCAGATGCCCTTTAGAATGTAGATATATTTGAAAAGAGGTAGAAAAGAATGGTTTGGTTTCTGCAACTTTTAGGAAGTATCTTCAGGTGACATGTTCAATTTGAAACTGAATATGGTTGTTGACAATACAGACTGAAGGAACAGATTGCTGTGACCTCAGAGTTAATCTTGAGAGATAGTATGGAGCTAAGGTATCTTTCCATTCATTGAGGAAGAATTGCTATGGAGAGGCAGTGAATCAGCTTCCACAGTTGCAATTTTGATTTTTAAATGAATAATCACATTGCTCAACTAGTCAGTTAAAACTTATTCACAGATACCAGAGAATCAGCTTTACTAAAGTACCCACATTGCTTTGGACGAGCTGCTTTATGAAGCTGAGAGAATAACTGAGGAAAACAACTACTTGTCCTTTTTGTGTTTGAGCTGTCACATCTGGTCTTCTGCATCAATATGCTTGCTGCTATTTCCACCTTTGCATTTTATCACTAGTGTTTGGGTTTTCTTTCCCTTCCACAGAGATGCTTCTTGTAGTAGGAGATTCTTGTGGAGGATTTAGTGATCTCAGAGAATGGTTCATGACCAGCTTTTGTAGCATGATACAATTTATGCAAACCAGAGAATGGGTTTACGTACATTTCACCTTTTATACAAAGTATTTTTTGCAAGTTATGATAGTAAACTATAATTATTGTATATGAGTACCTTTGTTCAAGTATTTGGAGTATTACAACCCTGTAGCTTATAAATACTAGGTGAAAATGCCCTAACTGTGGAACACTGAGTTAATCCTAGTATATCTTTCTCGTATTGCTTCATTAAGAGATTAAACTGATGAATTCTCCGTAGTAAAAAGAAGGTTTTTTTTTTTTTGGATGCTGCAATAGGAATTATTGTGTAGAACAGTTTACTCTGTTGTTTTAAAGTGAGAAGGAGCAAGAATCTGGTGCAATTCTTTGACTAGCCCATCAGCTTTGTAGGTTAATGTTGCTATTTATCTGGATACGTATTTTCCTTAAACTAGCTAATTCCAGAGCTGTGGAATTTTTCATCAGGGATAAGTACGAAAAGAAGAAATATTATGATAAAAATGCAGTTAATGCCTTCAATGTAAGTAAACAGTTTCACCAAGAATTCCATCACTTTTGTTTTTTGAAAGCTACATTAGACAAATGCAGAAAACATTACATGTTAAAATGTGTTCACAGTCAAAACCTTTTTGATTCGGTGCTAAGTGTTTTCTTTTGTGTCTCTTGAAAGGCATTCCTAGCTTCTGTAAGGTCAACATATTATCTGTTATATCTGTAACAGCAAATTTTTATGATCCAACAAATAGCTTGCTTCTGTTTCTTTATGTTGTGTTTTTCGCTTTTGCTGATCAGGAGTTCTTCAACAGTATATTTTGAGTCCTTTCTGAGCATCTTTTTCATGTGAGAGGGATAAGATAGGATTACTGTTTCTGGTGACTTTGTCTTCCCTTATTCTCTCTAATACCTTGATGAGAAATCCTACAGTGTTTTGGGTTCCTTCTTGAGGGTCTTAGTGCTCTGCTGAATTCCAGACTGCATGCAGTGAGATGCATTGAAATAGCAAACACAGGCAGTACAGCAAACCAGGTGTTTAATCATGTAGTTGTCTGTTCACTACTGTAAGTTCATGTGTGCTTTGCTGGCAAAGCAGTTTTGAGAATGTCCACATTTACTGAAGTTGTTCCTTGTACCCTTGTTTGGTTTTTTGGACGTTGCTGTTTCTGGGCCATACAGTCTAGTTTTAGCATAAATAAATACAACTATATAAATAAAAATATATAAACATGCACTCCTCTATACATACATTATTTAATTATAGCCTAACATGTAATTTACTGCTGCATCTTACTAGTCAGTGAACTTTGACAGGGAAACCAGTGCATGGGTGGTTGTAAAGAGTGGGATTTATGCTGCCTTTCCCACTTGAGAAAATGGATCTTTGAATGATAGTTTCATTCTAGGAGGAAAAAAATCACCTGAAAACTAGAGAAGTGTATTTCATTAAACATGGTTGAAGTAGAAAGAAAATTGCTTCACTTGTAAAATACAATGTAAAATACAGTTGTGGTTTGAATTGCACTGTTAATTATCCTTCTTTCCTTTTATTCTAAAGTAGTAAATTGGAAGAATTGCTTAAAATGACACTTGTTTAAAAAGTTCAAAAGAGTCCCAAGATCCTTCTAAACTGAAAACCTAGGTGCCTAATCTAGTAGTCCACTGCTTCCTTTGAGGGAGTAATCAGATTTTGCTTTATTGTATTGTAGACTAATATGAATTGCTTACCTGACACAGCAGCAAAGATAGAATCCAGACAAGCTGAAGAGAGGCATGTTACTGCTGAGTAGGAAACACCATTTAATTTCTTCCTACTTGGGCTTTTCATTCACTGACTAATGTAAATGGCATAATCTCTCCAAGATAGAAATAGAATCTAATTATGAAATAATTTAGCTATAGATAACTCCTGCATATTGACATTCATTTAAGTGTCCTAAAGTTACGTGGAGGTTCAGGAAGTCAACTTTGAAGCAATCATATTTTCCAGATTTTTAAAAAAGATTTGGCTCCTCCTCTTTGGCTTAAAATAACAACTCTAAAAAGACAATCTTTCTTAAACTATTTATTTTTGTATCTAATACAATGACCCTTTCACCATACAAGTGTTGAGTGTGGGTAAAGATTAGCTATTACCACATGCAGTCTCTGCAGCTTTTAATAAAAACAAACAGATAGGAGAAGAAAGAGCACTAATACTCAGAATGCATATGGAAAATACTTTATTCAGAGTGAATCAACTTAAGCAGATTCCAGAAACTTGAAGTTTCCAAAATTACAAACTGGCACAGTCTATTTCACTACATGAAGTAGGAGTATATTATCACATCTTGACAATGTTTAGAGAATAGTAAACAAAGTTTCTGTATTTAAGAAAATGTGTGAATTATGTATGGAGCAGAAGATTCATACAACTCTTAAGCTGACTGAAGGAAAAGAATGATGGGTCTACATTTTCCATGCTTTCTTAAGACATTGTGTATAATGTAAGTATGAACTTAGGCAACTGGATAAAATGTGATGTAAATTTAGGGATTGTGATGGTACATTTTCCAGAAAATTATCTTAAAGGAGATTAAATCCATAATATATTTGCCACACTTGGGCCCCTTAAGATGGATAAATTGTGGGGTATGATAGGTACATGAGCAGTAAGTTTGTATTAGACAGCGTTCAGAAGCATTCAGTCATTGGCTTGGAAAGAGGTTACCAGACACCCCTCACAATACTGCAAGAACCATAGTGGGTTTTTTAGTCATCTGTGAAGAGTTTGTGAATCAAATTCTATGAAGTATTTTTTAAATATGCTAATGAAGTGTTGTGATAGGCATCAGTAGGAAGCACTGAAATATAATTATGACTTGAGGGCAGGAATAGTGAAAGTGGGATAATTATTTTGCAAGATCATGCTGTTAGAATGAGTTGAATTATAGGATCACAGAATAGTTCAGGCTCCTGGAAGGAAGCCTTGGAGATCATCCAGTTCTTCCAGCTCAAAGTGAGGTCAGCTAGAGGTTTGCTTAGAGCTGTGTCCAGTTGGGTTTTGAGTGTCTCCTGGGCTGGAGACTCCACAGCCCGCCTGGGTAACCTGTTCCAGTAATCAGTGACCCCTGTGGTAAAAATAAAGTTATTCTTACATTTCACTGGAATTTCCTGTATTTCAAGTTGTGTTCAGTGCTGCTTGGTCCTGTTTCTGGGTACCATAGGCAGCAGTCTTTGCGCCCTGCCACCAGGTATTTATACACATTGATAAGACTTCTCTGTCTCCCCATCCTTAGCTTTCTCTTCTGCAGGCTAAACAGTCTCAGCTCACTGAGTGAGTCTGTTACTGTCTGAAAGGTGCTCCAGTCCTTTAAACATCTTAGTGTCCCTTTGCTGGACTTGCTCCAGTCTGGCCATGTCTTTCTTGTACTTGTGAGCCCAGAACTAGCCACATTTCTAGCTCATATTCAACTCCACCAGGACCTTCAGGTCCTCTTCTGGACATTTGCTTTCCAGCCAGTTGATGCCAGCCTGTATGGATGCATGGGGTTATTCTTCTCCAGGTGCAGGACTTGGCACTTCCCTTTGAACTTCATGTGGTTCCTGTTGGCCCATCCTGTCAACAGAGCTCTGAATGGCAGCACACTGATCTAGTGTATCAACCACTCCTTATTTTGTGTCATCTGCAAACTTGATGTTCTTCGTCTCAATCGTGGTTCATTAATAAGGTTCAATAGTGTTTACTCCAGTATCAGTGCCTGAGTGTACCACTAGTGACTGCCCTTGAGCGGGAGTTTGCTCAGCAGTAGTTAAATGGATGAGTTAGAGAAGCCTGGGTGTGGATTTTCAGTATGCAGGCTGCATTCCCATGTGCAGGAGCTTGCTTTCCTCACTTCCATAAGCTCTTTCATTTGAGGAGTAGTTCACACTGCTTAGCTACAATTTACTATGTCTAAGTAAACAGAACTTCTGCCAAAGCTGAAATCTATAGTGACTGCATTGCCAGTTTAGCATGGATCGTGAAAATGTAAATGATCCTGCTTGCAGCAGGGCAAACCACTTAGGAGAAAAAAAGGTGTTGTGCTGAAGTTTTGGGAAGCTCTCAACTAAAGACAGTTTTCCCTGGAACAAATACAGAAAACATTGGGTAGGGTGGACAGGGAGAATTGAGGGCTCTCCAGTAAGAGATTAAAAGCATCCTTTTTGTTTATCCTGTGTCAGCCTTCAGTTAAACCATGGTATTTCAGGAGGTAGTTATCTAAAGGAGAAGCTAAATCATCTAAATAATAAATCTAATGTGGGTAAGGAAAGGTATGGGTGCTTTATGTTAGAATTAGAAAAATGTTGCACTCGAGTCTAATACTGTTCAATATATCTGTATTTCCTAGAGCATCAAGTAATTGCATCTCTGTGTGATGTAAATTTTATGAACATCTGTAATTCTGCACACATTCAGGACTTACAGCTAGCTTGTGCACAGGCTTCACTGTATTCCTCTAACAGGATATGGGCACTCAAGGGATGGAGGATTGGTGAGCATTTGCAGAATATTGACACAAGAGCAGTGCTGGCTTCTTTAAAAAGCCATCTACTGCTGTGTTTTGTGAAATGTGGGACACTCACCTTTTATTTGTGGTGCCCGGTGGTTACAGCAGTGAATAGAAGAGACATTTTAGTAGCTTTAGAAAAAGCCTTGCTGGTTAGCCTAAATAATTTCCACAGAAATTCATAGACAAGTGTTATTAATAGTACCTTAGTATTCTTACACTCCTTTCAGTATTTATTTTAAGAATAGGCCTTCTTAAAAAATGGCAGGCTATTGGTTGTGTTTATATTATATGCAGCTAATAGTCTGTAATTGCTGCTGCTTTAAAATAAAATATTAATTTTAGTGTTGTCAGCATTCATTGGAGAGGTACAGTAATAAAGTCAAAAGTCTGCTGATACAAGAAAAGCATATGTAGTAGCTGAACTTAAAGCCTGTCAAATCAGTGTAGAGTACTCTTCATTTGGGTTATTTCTCTGTATGTTGTGCACACGTAAAATGGCCACTCGAGGGCACTTTTGTATTTGGTTCAGCTGCTAATTTCCTGAATATATTGAGGTGGTTTGATAACTCATCTTTTAATCTCTTGAATCTTCTGAGTGATAGCACCCTACGTTTCATATTTAAATGGAAGCTTAGTATAGGTTTCTAAAGCTTTAACTTGAATCCTTTTTAATAAAAGGCTAAATTACAGTATGCCATGCATCAAGAACGGGACTTTTTTTAAAAACAAAGTTGGTGGGAACTTTATTTAGTACATTGACCTTAATGGCCAGCAGTGTTTCTATGACTATTATCTACAAAGTCATTCTGAGATTTTGTATGTTATATTCTCTGATAGCTTCATTTAATGCTTTTTTTAAGCTTACGTTTTTCACTTGAAACAGTAGTCTAGTCTGATGCACAGACTACATCAGTCATTGGGCCACATACTGGTTGTATTGATGCTTGTATGTGATCTATTACCATAGCATGTGTTTTGATAGTTCCACTACTAA